CCTTTGCTTTTTTATTTGATAACATCTTGGAGGAGGAAGAGTGAAATAATAGTGACTCAGATTATTATGCTCACCAAACCCAACTGTGCTATGCCTTTTTCACATACATAGGAATTCAGCATTAAGCACCATTGACCCTTTAACCTCTCCCATCATCTTATGTATAATTAAACACTCTTTTCTTAAAAATTACAATGAAGATGGCTGTCCTCTTTAACCAAGTGGCCCTCTTTTTTCCTCTTGATTAGGTAACAGACATTAAAGAAAAACTGAAGCTTTCCAAAAAGTTCTGGTCAACTTTACCATACACCATCTGCAAAGATGAGAGAGTAACAGCTGGCTCATCAAATGAAGAGGACTGCTGGAATGGGCATACCAAAGCAAGGTGAGAAGGGCTGCTACCCTCATACTGCTCTTCTGGTTCCACTCAGCAGCATCATGATGGGGGAGTGATTGTGGCACCAGCCCTGAAGAGGGCACAAAAATAGCAGTAGCTGCTGCCACTGACACTTAACTGTCCCATGTAGAGTTACTGCCAAGGGCACTCAAGCACCTAGTTACAGCTCTCATTCCACTTCAGGACTTGAAACAGTTGGCTGTTTCTATGTTTCAGGGTTACTTACAAAACCATTTAGAAAAGTGTAATAGGAAAAGAAAGAAACAATTAATTGTCCCAGCATAGCTAGAAACTGGAAGTACCTATCTTCAAGATGCCATTAAATCTAGAGCATAAGCCATTTTGAATTTGCATGGCCTGTTAGGATTTGAACATGGAGACTGCTTACTGGTTTGATTCCAGGTGGATAATTTACTCTGCAATCTCAAAGAGCACTTTAGCTCTGTATAGTGTTCCTGTATAGTGGCTGATGGATTGTGAAGCAATTTACTCTTGGGATCTCCTACTGGGATAAAGCAGAAATTGGAATTTCAGCTCTTTTTACTATTTACTGGCAATCCTTTGGGTTATTTGTTGAGTAAAACTGCAAAATACGTATAAAATAAATGAAACGTTCTCAGTCATCTCACTTGGAAGGCCTGACCTTATGCCCTGTTATCCCAGAAACCATGAGCATCTCCTTCTCTTTTTCAGCAAATTTTCTCTAACTTTCACATTTGAAGCCAGCTTGGATCAGGTTATGATGGGGCTGTTACAGGCAGATTTGGTAAGAGTGGCAGGAGTTCTGCAGATGTACTGAACAACTGAAAGAGGGGTCCAGGTTTCATTGTTAAGATAATGGTCATTGGATTGGTCAGCTTACAGTTTGGATCAGTAACAGCTGTGAGTACTACTGGCATGAGGTAAGTTACAGGCTCAGGGTGCCCCGTAAAGGCTTTTTTCTTACTTGCTGTGATGCAGTTTCAGGTGCTCAATGCTTAGAAACAGCTAGTAGGTGAAAATTAGAACAAACCTGTCAAATGTGGAATGCACAAAATTGGCTGCTATTTGTCTTAAAAACAAACATGAAGAAAAACAAATAACAAAGCATAAGTCCCTGTAAGCCAACTTCTTTACTGTTCAGGGCACTGCACAAAAGACCTACCTCGCTTCCTAATGTCTTAAACCCCAGGCACTGAATTATCAACAGAGTTCACTTCACAGGTCAGTATAGATTTATGTATAGATCCGTGGACCCCAGCCTGAGAAGCACTGTAATAAATCTATCCAAAGGAATAAATATTGTTACCTGTCAGTCAGTGCACAGGCACTTGGGCCCATTACCTAAGTATCCTATGACATATGAGATAGGCAGCTAACAGAACAAATCAGGAACATTTTTATACTACTACGTCCATCTTAAAGTAATAGTCTGACAAGTAATAACAAAAAGAGTTCTCCTATCATAGTTATACTTGTAGCGATGTTTTGTACATGATGGCCCCAAGCAGGTGTATTGTGCTGGTTAAATTGACAGACCTCACAGCTGGCTAATGTGTGCTGCATCATAAAGTCCACGTTAATAAGGGATACACGCTGATCCTTTTCAAAAGAACAACAATACAACCCTGTTAAAATCCCTCTTGGTTTCCCTAAATAATTCTAGCTCTTGTACCATCTGCACAGCTGATGTCTGTCAGCTGCCTTTAGTCCCAGCATCTCTGCAGTTAAGGGCCTCATGTTGTCTTAAGTTTTAAGAAGTAGCATATGTCTATCTAAGCCCAGATAGCTTTTCTTCTTCTGAGTTTCAAAGAAGTGATTCTCTTGCAGTCTTCCTTTGGCAGTGTTTACATCATAGGAAGCCTGATTATTTTCACGGTGCCTTCTGGGCTGAGTGCTGTGGGACATCTGAGAAAGTCTGTCCTGTCATGATTGCCATCCACTCCGTCCTTGGTCAATTTAATGCATATATTTTGTTGGATGCAGCATCATAACTGGCAATGTCTCCTAATAATACAGCATCAGTAGGAACAATTAACTTTCTTTTGTCCAGTTTATATTTCATATATATTCACAAAGGAAATTTATAGTCACATTGAATAATGTAATGCAGTAATTGCTTCAGGTAGAGAGAGCAGTCATACATCCGAGATACAGCATTGTTATTTTGGTCTGCACCTGCAACAAAACAAAAACTATTACTCCAAATATCATTGAAAATGTGCTTAACAGTGAATATGAAATTGGCTGCTGACTAGGTGCAAGGCTATTCTTCATTACTGTAGCATAAAGAGAAAAGCATGTATTCCAGTGCATATTCAGAATAACGTACTGGACAGCATGAACAAGTGTGGCAGAATCTGGCATTTTAGTTAATTAAAGTCTTGTTTCCTTACTGCCTATGTTCTGCCCTGCAACCTCTACTCATCTTAGGCCTTTTTTTACCTTGTGGTAAATTTAGGCATGCATTTTGAATTCCAGAGAGAATCACAGAAGCTAGAGATAGAAAAGACTAGTCGGGTCATCTAACTCATTCCCTAGACAGTGAGCACTGAAATATAACAAAAGAGAAACTGTTTTTTCAAAAAAAAGTGTTGTCTGTGGTGCTAGTGGAGGAAGAAAACAGAAATTTAGAACTGAGATGCTCTTTGCACTTTTCAACTTGGACTCTTTAAATGTTGCTTATATCAGAAAATCAGTGTTACAAAACTAGATTACAGAAAATAGAAGTTATTCTTTCTTTTGAAAGAGGTGTCCTTGGATTAACATTACACCAAGGTCACTTGTGATTATAAAATCCCCTGCCATCCCTCTACTTCCATGTTTTATTAATAGAGATCTGATAGGTTAATCCAAGGACACCAATTAACAGATAAAGCACCGAGCGATGAGAATATCCATTTGGATTTCTGGAAGGATGCACTTGGCATAATGCTGATCCTTGATTTAGAAAAAGGTATTTAATCAGGTCAGATACAAAGTTAGGATGGAGGAGCGAGGCAGATGAATGGTATAGCACTGGGAAAACATTTATGATGAGATGGATGGAAGCATTTTTTTTGTAAAACCCTTTTAACCAAAATCAAAGCCAAGAACAGCTACTTCAAGCCTAGTGCCCTTCAAAAGGGTACCCAGCAGGGCTTCCCTGTCACATCTCATATTCACAATGATCAGAGAAACACATACACAATATTTTTTTGAAGAATTAATATCTTATGAATGAATGCAAGAGACTTGGGGCCAGACTTTTAAAGGTGCCTATGGGGATGCCTATGCTGTGGCAGCAGAGTGCTCAGTCTTGCTACCAAGTAAATAAGCCTGCCCATTCCCACTCAGGTTTCCAGTTTCTGAAGGCAGCAGCTTGGGGAGCACCCTCCAAGCTAACCTCACAGCTTCTTTTCCAGAGTTAATACCACAGTGGAGCCATGGAGCAGGGCTCACTTTGCTGGTGGCAAGGCTGAGCCCTCTGTTGCCATGGTATAGACATACTCTAACCTCTGTGAAAACCATTGGGGAGCACCCAAATACTTTTTAAAACCTGGCCCAGTGGACAGCACCCTGGTCCAGTGATCAAAAAGAGTTGCCCTATATGCAGGTGAATGAATGTTCAATGACAAGTGCTCCTCCCATCATTTAACTAACACTATGAAATGTACAGAAGTCTCAGGCTTCTGAGCTAATTATGCCAAGTTACAAAGTTTTAACAGATATAAACTAAGCTATCCAAATATCATTATTAGAAAAGTAGCATGTGTTCAAGGGTGGTCTCAACCAGGTTGAAACTTAATTTTCCTCTTTTTTACCATTCACTTTAGCTGTGGGAGCAGGCACTGGCCAGTCCCAGGGAGTTTGGTATGGAACCTTTTAACAGCCTTAACTACCCTGAGCATCTAGTTTTCTGATGAGCAGAAAACAGGGAAAGAAAGTCACTAATGTCTTGTCTGCACTAAGTTACCAATTCCTGCTTATAGATTTCTTCAGTGAGTTCAAATATTGCAAGTAGCCAAAGCTACTTGTTCAGCACCATTTGAGAAACGGCCTTGTTACACATTAATTTTAAGTAGATCCTGGAGCTCTTAATTCCTGGATTACCCACACATTAACACCTGAAATTTAACTTTAAGCACACTTTAGGCAGCTTAAAGATAGACCACTCCAGAGAAGGTTTCTCTCCAGTCTGTGTTACCCAGCTCATGTTCCATTCACGTTTGGCTACTCCCCACAGATAAGCCACCCAAGTTGCAGTCCTCCAGCATCCCAGGGTGCAGTGTCCCTTCCTCCACCCTCCTGTTTTCTGTGGACAAACTTTCCACCCCCTGAACTCTACTAACCAGGGGACAGTCCTGACAGCAAGCCACTTCCTCTTTGTGCCTCCTGCAAGGTTTGACCTTCCTAGCTTCAGGGTGCAACCCTGTACAAACAGCCTATACAGTACATCCCAGCTAGTCAGATCACAGGGCATGGGCAGGTCCAGGAGGGAAGTCTAGGAGGATGGGGGGAAGATCAGGTCCCCATGAGCTGAGGCTTCCTTCCCAGGGTAGGGTCTTCCCTCACCACTCCCACATCCCTGCCACCCCAGGAAGCATGACCAGCACCCGCCACACCCCAATCCCAATTTACTAAAACAGGAGACCTTCTTTAATTTATTTCCTCTTTCCTTATTTTCAAATTATTTTTCTTTTTTAGCTTTTACTTCTTTTTATTTGATCCTTTAGGGGCTGACTTCCTTCATTTCACCACCCCTCCCCACCCCTGTTTCCTTTCCACATCCCATTTCATTACCCACCCTCATCCCATTAGCTCTCCACCCCCCAGCTTCATGTTCCTGCCCCTCCAACCCATTTCTGACACACACCCCCCACCACCTACAGCAGGGGTAGAAGCCTGTCCTGGCTCACCAGCCCTCTAGTAGCAAGTCACAGCTGTGCAGGTTGGGGAGTCAGAGAAGCTTTTCAGCCTTTAGGTGTGACTGTCTAAACTTGAGCTAGCCCTAACACCAGTGAACATTT